AAACTTTTTAAAAATCGCGTCAGAAAGAAGAAGAAAAACAAAAAAAAACTATAAAAAAGAAAAGAATTGTAAATTTTTTATATTGTATTTAATTTAACTTAAATTTTTTTACATGAAAACAAAAAAATGCGAACGTAGAAAACCGAAAAAGAGAAAAAAAAAAAACAAAAAAAAAGAGTAAAAGCAAAAATATTGGTGATATTTTAATTGCTTACAGACATACATACATACACGCGCATATATATACAGAACAATGAGAAATTTTACAGTTAGAGCGGAGAAACAGTTATTATTAATTATTATTATTGTACATTATTTTTGAGTAACAAATAAGTTTATATGAAATCCGAAAGAGAAGCAAGAGCAAACGCGGAGCAACAATGCGAATTAAGCGCAAAAACAACAAAAACATATATAATGAAAAAATTATATACATATATATAGAGATATATATACACATAAAAAATATATATAAATTTAGTATATATATATGGAAAACTTACAATTAAATATACTACGCGTAGTTTCTTGGTAGTGAAAAGCGTGCATAAAGCCCTTAAAATTAGTAGTTTGTTAAATAAATTTATATACATATATACATATATGTACAACAGAGACACACACAAAAGAAAAAGAAATACACACACACAAAAACAAACAAATACACATATACCATGTATGCATCTTGATAGGTGTATATATGTATGTGTATGTATTCGATTAGGAGCGCTAACAATTATTGAATTAGATATCTAAGTATACACAGCCGAGTACATTTTTAGCTAGATGCGTTTTTGGCCACGTTACCAAGTGACGCCGTGCCTCAGCAGCCCACTTGACAAAAATGATAAGAGATTCCAGCTATGAAATTATTATACAACATTGATTTAGCGCAATTCCATAAGTCCATAAGTTAAATAGTTCAGATCGGTTCCATTCTCACTCAGCTCAGAGGCCATACAAAATTCGACAGCAGACACTTCCAGAAATATATACATCCATATATACATATACATATGCATAGAGCAGCAAATTAATAGATAATGCCTAGATCGAATGCTGATCGAGCACAGAAACACACTCACACTTACACAGACACACTGACACTGACAAAGACACGCCTAGAAAACAAACGCGTAGCCCAAAGTATTTAAGCCGCAAACAAACAAAAACAAAACGAAAAACTAACAAAAAATTATTATTAAACAATTATTATAATACAAAAATACGCGAATTGTAGTTTGTAATTAATTATACGAAAACAACTTGTTTAAACAAAAAACAAAAAAAAAAAAAAACTCGCAAATTATATTATATTATATAGTATATATCTATATACATTATTATTATTATTATTATTACTATATACAATATGGCATATTATTATTACATATATATACAGTACAGATCTATATATATATATATATATATATATATATATATATATATTGAAAACTTGCAATTCAATCGAGGCGCAGCGAGTTGCAAGCAATTGCAAGTAAAACACACCCACAAATCGATATCAATTAAAAGCAAACAGCTGCCAGCGGCAAACCAAAACTTTAACAACTTACAAAAACAAATCAACAAGAGAAACTAAAAACAAACTTCAAAAGCAAATGCAAATTAATTTTAGCTCATAATTTACATACAACAACAAAAACAAAAAGCGCCTTTTGCGGCATTTTGTCTTGCTTTTATCCTTATTTTTATTTCCTGTTTTATTTTTTTAATTTAGCCAAATTATGTTTGGTGCACAAGTCTTCGGTTTGCCGTTTTGTTGTCCTCCAGGATGCGCAACAAAACTTCTGTGTCGACAACTCGGGACACAAACGAATTGTTGGCAAAACAAAAACAAAAACTACAACAAATTGTAGATTTTCTTTTAATATTAAAGAAACCAGACAAAAAAAAAACACAAGCAACAAAATAAAATAGTAAAATATTACTTTTGTAAATAAATAAACCAAAATTCTTTTATTTTCTTGGGCAGTTGGATAATATCTTTGAATTATACAATGATAGCCAATAAAATTTAAACTATGTAGTATTGCACTATAAATGGGCGGCGAATTGGTGTACCGTTATCCATGATTTGGATGAGATGACCCGATAAACATTTAATGCAACTCAATAAAAATAATATTCACAATTTAAGCCTCCTTGTGTATGCTCAGATTGTACAAATTCTTTTCAAATATTTGCAATGTGACTTTGTTAGCAAATGGTCACAATTTATACTTTGATAAAAAGGGTGAGCGAAGTTCCTTATGGCCTTATGTATAGTTGAAATAACGACCTTTTCCTCAAGCAAAGAATGTGAATATATGAAACAAAATATCGTAGGTAAAAGCAAAGTAATGGATTCTTGAGTGACCCGCAACAGGCGGATGAGTAGGTTCATTTTACCCATTCCAATGACTCAAGAGAACTAAAATATGCAAAAATTAAAACAGAGTTGCATAGACGGGCTTGAAAATTTGTGGTGCTTCATACAATAGTAGTCAAGCAAAAATGTAGAATTTAAATTTCCATTGGAAATGTGCTATGAGATGGAGTTCATACAATTTTTTTCTGTCAATCAAGTTACCTCTGTTCAGCGAGCTCAAAGCGCAGTATGCTTTTGGGATCCCCCGATCCCATTATCTACGAAGACGGATGAAAAATCTATATTTTCTAATTGATAGAATATAGGAATAATTAAAAAGGATCCATTGATATGTTTTTAATTCATATTTATTGATTTCTGTATACGCATGTTCATAATACATAATTGCATATTTTATGACTTATAATAAATATATTCCATAATTGTAAATACATGCATTCAATGTGTGCTTATGTAAGTGTATGTGTGGCTTTGTATGTGTGCTTCAATCGTTTAACATTATATTTGTGGGTAGTACGCATATTTATTATGCACGCTTATTTTGCATGTACTCGATATATGTACGTATATATGTTTATACTTGTGTGGGTATGTGTATTTATGTCTGTATGTGTCTAAATGTGTGGATATTGTTTTATATAGTTTTACATAGGTAGGACTTGCATGAGCACTCGACATGAACAAACGAAATTATCCATGAGGTTCACTTAAACATAGAACAAGCTTAGCTAAAATCAAAAAGGATTATATGTAAAGGAAGCGCGGAGAAGAAGGATCGGAATGGAAGGGGGCATAGGCAGAGATTTCGAACTAAGAAGGATTTAAAAATAATTAGCAACTATTGCGGGAACTAAATAGTGTGCTACATCTAATTAGAAGCTAGCTTTGCCAATATATATTCATATATATATATATATATATATTCATATATATATATATGTATGTGTGTTTTTGTGTACTGTTGTGTTTGTATGTGTGAGTGGAGCTATGATTAATAACTTTTCAACACTTAGACGCTAGTGCAAAGGTGCGGCCTGCCAATTCTAAATGTTTAAATGTTTAGCTTACTAATAATGGTATTAGTATTAATAATTATTTTAATATTGTTAATGTTAAATGGTTTGCGACACTTCGAACGGGATTTGTTTAGATAATGTAAATGCCTTTGCTGGTTGCGGTTTGCATTAGTTGAGTTTTTAGATGTCATTATTGCTAGTAATCAATTTCAAATGTTGCCTGTGACATGTCGCATTATTATGCAATAAAATCAGCCTTAGTTATAATAATTGTTACTCGGTCGTACGCATGTCTCTAAGTAGAGGCTCGTTAACAATATTTGTGGCAAGTGCCAGAGTTGCTTGAGAACCGCTTTCAATTTTCATATTCCATATTCGGTACTCCATATTAGAATCGTAATGGTATTTAATTTGTAGTATTATTCAATTACTGTTTATAATTATTATGTATGTTGCCCTTTTTACTTTGTAATACTTGCGCAAGTTAAAGTTCTTCTCTAAAAAACAATTATACAAAACGGTGTTAAAAGTAAAAACCTGTAAATTTTACTAGCAAAAATTCACGAGTTTGTAGAATTATATTAAATATGCTTTTTAAAAATGCCTTTAATTGTTAAGTAGTTAATTAGGTAAGTGGTTTACTGTGTCCCTCTCTGTCTTTCCTCCAATTAGACTCGACTCGAATCGACAATTCAGCTAAATGCGCAAATTCAAATTCAATTAGTATTGTTATTATTCATTATTATTGTTATTGTTATCATTTCTGTTTGTCTAAAATGTTTCTCTAAAACTGTGTGTGAGAGTTTCGAAAGTTTTGTGCATATTGCTGAATGGATGGATACTGAAATGCACTTGAAACAATGAACTAGCTCCTAGTTAAACGCTCCATACTTATTCTAAAAGTGAATTGCATTTGTTGTGGATGTATTCGAGATTTGCTTCGTCCATTTTCCACATCAAAGACGACAATTTTCACTTGTGCAGCTCGAAACGAAACTGAGCCAATCGACAACTGGCGATTTCAGTTTGGCTCAGTTCGATTTCAATTGCTATAAACTTACATATGTATGTATATTTACGATTTACATTACGAACTTTACTTAAATATTGCAAACATGTTTCAAATGCTCAATTAAAAGTTTGAATCCTTTTCTTTCTTTCTTTTGCTTGAGTTTCTTTGCTGCGCCTACGCCGCGTTCATAAATTTATATCACACGCAATAAATATATAATTGTTAAAATAATAGAACATTTGTTTTTCGCATCTCGAAATTCAAAATTAAACAAATTAAAAATCGTGCTCGTGCCATTTCGCGTAATTAACTATTATTATATCTGATTTTTCTTTTTATCGTTTTCTTTACGTTTTGTGTTCTCGTTTATGTTTATGTTTATGTTTATGTTTTTACATGCATATTTTCGTAATTTAATTATTCATCGATTGCATTTGCATACAACTTGCAATTGAAGTTGATTCGAAGCATGCGTGTGCATGTGTGCTGTGGGTGTGTGTATATGTATGTGTGTAGGTATAGGTGTAGGTATGAGTGCAGCTATTCGTTGTGAATGGCAATGACTGTTGCTGTTTTGCTGATGTAATTCTAATTAACGTTTAAACGTTTTTGGCAAATTGTTGATCAATCAATCGATTGATCGATAAGTTATCGATGGCTGCTCTAGTGCAGCCTATGGTGATTGGCCTTGGGCATGGCGCCTACAATGCGCACACGCCCCAAGGTGCCAACTGCGCCAGCGCCAGCGCCACCAGACAGCCGCTGATGCTGCTGCTGTTGTTGCTGCTGCTGCTGTTGCTGCTGCTGCTGGTGCTGTTGCTGTTGTTGCTGCAGCAATTGCAGCTGCTGCTGGTGACGCTGCTGCTGCTGCAGTAGCTGTTGTTGGTGCTGCTGCTGCAGCTGCTGTTGCTGTTGCTGCTGCAGGTGCTGTTGCTGCTGCTGCTGTGGATGATACTGCGGCGCATGCTTGGCATCATTGCAGTCGCAGAATTGGGGAGGCGGCGCCAACACCAGATTCTCGGTGCACAGCTGCAGATTGTTGTTGCCCGACTGCGATACAGCGGTGGCAGCAGCAACAGCCGCAGAGGGCACTGCCACCAACTGGCCGCTGGGCAGCATGCCCACAATGTGCGTGGCCAGCTGCTGCTGTTGCTGCTGCTGCTGTAGCAGATGCTGCTGCGGCGTGGGCTCGCTGTCGCTGTCCGCCTCGAGAGGCGGAGGCAGCTGCACCAACGATACGGCTGTGGTGCGTGTGGCGCCCCGCTGCATGGCGATGGCCGCCGCCTGCTTGCGCGTCAAAGAGTTGTGCCGCTGGAATGCTTTGGCCGGTGGCGAGGGACTCAGTTCGCCGTCGTCGTCATCGAGATCGGATCGCTGCTCCAGTTCGGAGTCGTGGCCCTTGTGTAGCTGCTGCTGCTGCTTCGCCACCAGTGCGGCGGTGCTGGCGCCACCAGCGGCCGCTGCTTTGGCTTTGAGAATCTGCTGCAAGTGTTGCTGGTGTGCCAGTTGCTGTTGCTGCTGCTGCAGTATCTGCTGCTGTGTGGCAATCAGCTTTATGTTGGGATTCGCTTGGTGTTGCTGCAGCAGCTGCTGCTGCTGTTGCTGCTGGTGGTGCACATTGGGTATGCGACCGAGCACCTGAGGACTGAGCACGGGCTGATTCGACTTAATTTGAGTGGTGTTGCCTGTCAGCTTGGTTGCAACCATTGCTGCCGGCTTAGCGCCGCTCAGCTGCTGCTGCTGCTGTTGTATAACCGGCGCATGTTGCTGCTGCACCAGCTGCTTAACAGTCAGAGTAGTTGTTGCAGGCGCTGTTGCTGTAGCTGTGGCTGTTGCTGTCATGCTGCTGCTGTTGTTGTTGTGGTTGCTGCTGGCATTGTTGTTCAGATTGGAGCTGCTGCTCTTAGTGGCCGCCTCGTAGGCAGCTGCAGCATGCGCCACATTTGTGCCAACATTAATGCTGTTGCTGTTGCTATTGCTGTTGCTGTTGCTGTTATTGCTGCTGCTGTTGTTGGCGTTGACTGTTGCTGCTCCAATACTGATGGTCGTCTTGGCCAGGGGCTTGACTGGTGGATCCGGTATGGTCTTCGGCTCCTCCACAATAGTTACGCTTGGCTTCTTCTTTATGGTATCCGTGGGCTTCGCAGCGCAGGTGGCGAGCAACTCCTGGTCGCTGCTGACGCCCGAGCTGCTGTTGTCGCACTCATCCTCGCCAGCAGCAGGCTGTGGCAGCAATTGTTGCTGCTGGGGGTGCTGCTGCTGCTGCTGCTCCTCCTCCTTCTTGAGAAAGCCGTTCGGCGACGACTTGGAGGTCTTCAGATTGCTCCGAATGCGCTGTATCTCCTCCACGGACAGCGAGTGCGAGATGGAGGCACCCGAGCCAGAGGCGGAGCTGCTGCCACTAAAGAGGATCATACATTAGTGATAGAACAATGGAAGTTGAGCCACTGGCACTTACCTGCCCTGGCTGTTGCCACTGGTCTCCGGCACGTCGAACAGCGCGATTTTCTCATTGAGCTTCGTGTTGCGGGCTACCAGAATCGAGTTCTCATCCTCGCCGTCCGACTCGCTGCAGCTGTAGTCCGGCTCGGGTATTGGCGGTGCTGGACCAGCAACAGTTGCTGATGCGTTTGCAGTGCCACTTGAATGTTGCTGCTGCTGTTGTTGTTGCTGTTGTTGTGTTGCTGCTGGCGGCGGTGGTGGTGCAGGTGGTGATTGTGGTGCATCCACTGCTGCTGTCGGCTGCTGCTGCACCTGTGGCGCTGCATAGTGGGAGCCCACTGGAGCCGGAGCCTGTGGACGCAGCTGTGTTGGTGCTGCATATTGACTGACATGTTGCTGTTGTTGTTGCTGTTGCGGCTGCTGCTGCTGTGACTGTGGCTGTGGCTCCTGCTGTGGCTTCTCCTGCGCCTGCCGCAGCTTCCAGGCCATCACGTTGCGCAGCTCCTGCGGCGAGGCATAGATCTTGGCATTGGCCGAAGGATTGAAGCTGCTCTGGACGCCATCGATGGCCGCTGAGGTGACTGCGTCGTTCTCCGCACGCTTCTTCAGCTTCTGCTGCAGCGATATCGTGCTCTCGTACTCCGAGACACTGCTGCGAGTTTCCACCTTCACCACCTGGCCCACTGGCGGCGGCGGCGGTGGGTGATTGGGTGGTGGCAGAACGGCACCAGCTGCACCCGCCCCACCTTTGCTCTCCTTGTCGCCCGTCGTGTTGAGGCGCTGCAGCGAGGCGTGCAACGTGGCCACGTCGTCCTGCGAGTGATGGCCTTTGCCTGCGGCCTGCCAGATGGACGAGGCCGAGCCGTGCAGCTGCGGTCCGTGCAGATCCGGCGTCGAGTGAAAGCGCTTCAGATCCCGACCGCTGCCTGCGGCCGCCCCACCCACGGTGGGCGTGGCCACGGGTTTGCCACGCAGCGTGCCGCTGCCGTGCTTGGTTCGCGCCGTCTTCTGGCGCTTCATTTCGGCCACGCTGCCGTAGACCTGTGGTCCTGTGCGCATTGGCGATCCGTTGGCGCCAGGAGGCGTGGCAGCACCACTGTCCGTGCCCGACTGGAACCGCGAGCTGGTCATCATGGTAGCGTAACGACTGGCATTGCTAGCGCCGCCCTCGCCCTGCTGCCGCTGGAAGAGCTCCTCCAGCTCGGCGGCGGTGATACGGCTCGATGTGGGCCGCGCCTTGATGCTGGCCGTGCGCAGCTGCACCGGCGTGCCCGGATGTGTGGGCGTGGGCGTGGCGATCGACTCGACCGAATTGGACTTGGCATGCGGCACCTGCTCCTCCTGCTCCTTCTCGCCCCCATTTTCCAGGCCCGCCACCATCGACTTGGCCCTGGCCCGGCCCACGCTCAGCGTAGTCTTTGGATCGCGGCGCGGTGGCATCGGCGCCATTCGAACACTGCCGCCGCCGGCCGAGCCGCTGCCGCCGGCATGGCTGCCCGGACCCATGGACATCTTGCGAGGCAGCGTAGCGCATTGGCGATGTGCGCTCTGCGGCGTGCTGGGTCCGCTGGACAGATGCTGGCTGCCGGCGCGGGCACCGCTGGGCAGGTACTGGGCGCTGGCCTGCATCTGAAGCGGAAACTGGGGCGAGACGACGGTCATGTTGACCAGGGCGCCGGCGGAGCGTATCATCTCGACGACCTGCTCATGCGAAGCGGCGCTCACATCCTCTCCGTTGATGGTGAGTAGAAAGTCCCCGGGACGCAGTCCAGCCATGTCGGCCACACCGCCCGGATCCACGTCGTCCAAGTACTGCAGCGCCGGGAAGCGCTCCGAGGGACGCAGTTGCATCAGCTGAGAGCTGGCCTTAGCGCCGCGCAAAATGAAGCCGAAGCCACGTTTAGCCCGGTGCAACACGACTGAGCGGGGCGCGTTGTAGGCGCTGGAAATATATTCAGAGTTGAATAAAACACGGAATCTATCTGGCGAGGATTGAGAGTGAACTTACTTCTTCTTGATGCGTGGCGCTGTGGCGCTGCTGTACTGTCCAATCGTATTGTTGACCATGTCCTCGGGCTGCTGCTGCCCCTGCTGCTGCTGCTGGCAGGAGCCGTTGCTGGTCATGGAGAGCGAGGGCGATTGATGCGGCTGCTGGAGCAGCGTACTGGAGCTGCCCGAGTGGCCGCCCAGGCTCAGCTGTGGGGAGCCCTGGTAGGAGCCTGGCTGCACCTGTTGGGCCTGCAGCACCTGATGCTGCTGCTGCTGCTGTTGGTGTTGGTGTTGGTGTTGCTGTGGGGCCATGCCCGTGCTGGCGGTCATCACGTTGGTGATGTGCTTCTGGCGCAGATTAACCTCCTGGACGCAATCGGCGGGGAAGAAGCCCGACTGGTTGGTGCCGCGCACATAGCCCTCGAGCAGGCCGCAATCGGTGCTGCCCACCACCTCGATCACGTCGCCCGGCTGGAGGCGTATGTGACCCACCGTGTTGCCCGCATAGGGCTCCATGCACACCACCGTGGTGCTGGGATGTCCAATGGAGCAGGCGGCCGAGTCCGAGTTGGTGCCCACGCCCGACGAGTCGCTGATGATGTCGCTGGTGTCTCCCAGCGACTTATCTGTTGGGAATGCAAGAGTGGAGACGCAAGTTAATCGATGCCTCAGTGGGGCAAGGGACCTGGAGCTGGCTAGCTCAGCAGAGACAGAGACAACATCGAGGCGAGGATGGCGATTGCATGCGTATGCTATGACTAGTGGCTGGGCTTCAAGAGAAACAGAGCGACAGAGAGAGGTAGAGAAAGATAGAGAGAGAGAGACAGCACGAGAAAGCGTTGCATGTATGATTGAAAGAGTTGCGCATCACAAAGAACTAGGACTCACAGTTAGAAAATGAGTACTGATTGGACTTTGAACAATAGTTTAAGAATCTCGAGAGAGATATGATATATCATCTTGTTTGGGGTGAATATTGGTAGATAGAAAGTGCATTTTATTATATATAAATTGTAGATTTATTTCCTTTGGAAAAGTAGAAAAGCGCAGATGGAGCACTTGGAGATATCACGAAATATTCAGTATATGATATGAATTCAATTTAGTAAAATTGCAGAGTCGTTTCAATTTAAGGAATTTTGTCAAAATTGTAGCCGGTGTCCAAAATATAAAAAACATTCATTTGTATACAAATATTAATGCAAATTTATACGCACGAGATATTTTTTAATAATTGTAGATAGAAACTTTAGCTCTATTATTCGGACGGACGAACAGTGGGACATGGCTGAATCCAGTCAGCAAAAAAAGAAATATTCTTCATGGTGTCTGCCTATGCCTGTTGCATACATTTTCCCAAAACCATATGCACTACTTTCCAATTTTCAGTAGGTTCAGTGTACAACATAACTTGAAGAAATTATTATTAGAGCTTCTTTTGTACAGTTCCATCTTAAACGGTAGCGACTGTAACCCATCTGGTTCCGGCTTATTATAGATCTGCTTACTTAGTAAATCATATGCGAACGATCACAACTTATCGATAACTGAGCCAGCATGGCAGTGCAATCGGTTTGAAGAAGTGCTTATATAAATAGATATTGAATATAATAAATTGTGGTTTGAGAATATGGACTTAATCGATAATTTAACAGACATGCAGTCGTGGTATTTGGTTTATATATAGAAAGTTAACTAAGTCTTTATTGGGCTAGTTCTAAGAAACATGCTTAAGCTATGGCAATTGTTATACTTAACCTCTGGCTGACCTCATATATGTAGACATAGTGAATATGTATAGTATAATGAAATCAAAACATATGATCGTCGGTTTCAATGTATGGTAATCAAAAACTTATAAACTTAAAGCGAACATAGGGTAAAGGCGAAATCAAAGTAATTCTCATTACCTGTCACAATGCTGATGTCGTCTTCGTGCGAGCGATGTCCCGACGAGCCCTCGGATAGACTCGAGCTGGCCGAGCTGTAGGCGCCCAGCATGTGCTCCGATGGACAGGGCGAGGGCGGGCCGTGCAACTGCAGATGCGGCTGCTGGTGCTGGTGCTGGTGCTGGTGGTGCAAGTGCTGCTGCACGTGCTGATGGCTGTGGGGCTGTTGGTGGTTCGGATGGGTCAAATGGTGGTGTGGCGGCTGCAGCTGCTGCAGCTCACGTCGCGTGAGCGTGCCCATCGGCCCATTGCCGCCATTCACACAGACCGGCTGCTGGCCACCCTGCCCCGGCACAGCGCCTGCACCACCGAGCCCACCGGCAGCCGCTGCCAGCAGCGCAGCGCCAGCGGCCCCATTGGCGCTCAGCCAGCCGATGCCCGAACGCCGTTTCGGATTGTAGCGTGGCGGTCCCCGGAAGGGTACTGCGATTGTGGATTAAGGATAGTTTGCGATTTATACGTGTGTATTTGTATGTGTATGTTGTTATTGTAATAATTGTTGTTGTTGTTATTATTGTAGTTGTTGTTGTGGGAGGAGTTTAGTCAGTCAGCTTAACTCGTGTGTGGCGGCTTGGAGATTAGCTAAGTTAGGGAGGGGCTCTATTGCATATTGCCGTTAGCTATGGTTACGTATTTTTGTCACATTACGTGGCCGAGTTCCATCCGGACTGCGGTTTATTAATGGCTTATGAGGGCAGAGCCAGGCCAGAGTTGAGCAAGCATTGCTCAGCCAATAACAGCTGTTAACTAACATAGCGGTAAAGTTCTGGAAGAATGCCACTGCTCACCTCTAACTTTAATCTCTACTCAATCTTCAATTTGGGGTTCGGTTTACAAATCAAAATACGTAGTAGTGAGATGAGAAATGATAAGGATAGACCACTTCCTAGGGGCTCTAACACTTAAGATCGGTACACCAAACGCTCTGTTACTTACTGTACTTACTGCTCTGATGTATATACACGCACGCATATATACATATTTATATATTTATGCATGTAATTGACCATATTGTAAAGCAAAATGGAGCATTCTAAGAATGTTGGCATAAAATGAAAACTGATTTAAATGCAATGAGAATAATTCGATTACTATGTAGATAAATCGATAACAATAATTAAGTAACGTTCAACAAAACAGCCAAGAGAGACACAAACAGAGAAACAGAGATACATACATATATAGATAGAGAAGAATGATATGAGAAAGAGTCAAACGAGTACGAGCAAAAATTGAAACGAATTACAGTTACGATTAAGTACTATTTGTATATGCAAAGAGAGAGAAAAACGTGTCAAGCAAATGCAAGGCAGGTACATATATGTACATACATATATATATATATGTATATATGTATATGCATATATATGTTATATATAGAGTTGTATAAATAGCGTTTGTATATTTGTATAGGATCAACATTTTATATTACATTGAGATATGATGGATGTATGTATGAAATATGATTTAGATTTGAGAAGACCTATATGATGAAATGATTGATTTATATATGTATATATGATTTTTGATATGATCTGTTTGGGTGTCTTTGAGAACTGAATATTGGGATGGCGGGACTAAATGTGATTAAAACAGAGTATTCAATAAACTAAGTATTGATTGGAATCGATCTAGCTATAGATTGAGTAGAGGATTAAGTTGAGCAAAATCAAAAGAATTGGAACTAAATTGTGACAAAAATGGGATTAACTGAGGGTTGTACTGGACGAGAGATGAGTAAAAGGTACGATATGGCAATGTCAATGTCGAGTACGAGTCAAATGGGATTGGTCGACGAGTATCGGAAACGTTGACATCAATCACTCTGTAATTCAGTCAATCATACAAATATATGGGACTACCAGTATAATTTCAAATTCACAGATTAATTGATCAACGTTTCCCACTTTGTGTGAGTGCGAATGAATTGTTGTATGACTGTGATGAGCTCTCTTGCACTCACCTATATCCTCCGATTTGTAGTTCTCGATGATCTCAGCTAGTTCCAAGTTGCCAGCGATGACCGCAACCTAAGGTAGACAGAGTTTTATTAGCCGACCGTGAAACCAGAAGCAAAAGCATTCAATTCGTATAGACTACAGCAAAACTACGTGAAGAAGTACCAGCTATATCTACGAGTACATTATATTACGAGTATATTACGTTGCATTACGTTACGTTACGTTGTTTGTAGCCTAAAAGTGTTTTATGTTATTGAATTTGGATTGGTTTTGTTTTAAATACCTGATAGGGAGTTTGGTTGGCAAAGTTCTGGGCACCGCGTTGTGCGCCGCGAAAGAGAAGCATTCTAGCACAAGCCTCTTGGTTGTTAACAGCGCAAACATGCAACGGGCTGTTACCGGACGCATTGCGTCCATCCATGTCAGCACCGTAGAACAACAAGTGTTCCAAGTGCTGCACCAGGCCGTGCCGACAGGCCTAATCACAGTTTACAATAGTTAGGGCAAGCGTTTAAAGTTAGACAGAAGAGAAGTAAAAATCAATTAGCAAATACGTTTCTTAACTCTCCCAGCACCTTCGCACCAAAGTATCTCTCAATTTTGGATAGGCAGCGGGGTCATTCACAAGAACCGAAAGTGAGCTCAGTCGTATAGAGAAGATGTTAGCAACCATTTGGACCCGTCACCGACTTACCTGGTGCACCTCGTTCCAGCCCTGGCTGTCCTGTATGCCCAGCGTGGCGTGGTCATGCAGCAGGCTCTCCGTAATCTTTGCGTCGCATTTGCGCGTTATTGAGATGTACAGAGGCGTTATGCCACGCCCGTCACGATAATTGGGCGAGGCGCCAAGCTCCAGAAGCGTGCTGCAAGAATTGAATATGGATTAGCATAAAATCGCACACAATTGAATCAAATTTAAACTCCATTTATTGAAAGCCTGTGGAGACCCACCTGACCGCCTCGAGCGAATCGTGTTCGACAGCCCGATGGAGCGCTGTGGTGCCATCCTTGGTGCGGTAGTCCAGCAGAGCACCGCCATTGACCAGAGCAATGAGCAGCTTGTTGGGCTTCTTAGCACCAGTAGCCACCGAGAGCGGCGTCTCGCCGCTTTCCGAGCAGTGAAAATTTGGGTCCAGGCCCTTGGCACACATCTTGGCTATCTTCTCCACATGGCCCCCATTGATGCAGTCCAAGAAGCGACGGAGGTTGGCGCGCGTGTGCAGCGCCTTCAGCTGGCGCTCGTCCAGTGTGAGCATTTTATACACGCGACGCTTGTACTTGAGCTGCAACGGACAGCAGAGAGAATAGGAGAAGTTGGGGTCAGTCAAGTCCTTTATATACATGTAATGCTTGATGGATGCAACTCACCTCAAGGTAGCCGACGGGTCCATTGAATGGATAGTCGCCCAAGCGTCGCTCCTCGTCCAGAAACTTGCCCGCTTTCCCGTTCGAGGGTGGTGCAAAGAGGCCATAGTTGAAGCTCTCCTTCAGCTCCTGCAAGAGGGAAAGGGAAAGGAGAGAGGATGAGTTATATTCCGTGAGTCTGACAGCTTTGAGTGCTGGCCTCTGCCTCGTCCATCAGGTGTGCCATTCACGTGCTCAAGTTGTTCATTTTTCACACGCACAACCTCTCTCTCACACACACACACAATGCCACCCACACATGCACAGAAAAGACTTCCTGCTTACGTTGGGTGAAGCGCCCGATGCGGGCGGATTCACAATGCTGCCGCTAATGAGCGCGTGACAACAGCGCCATCTAGCGATTGCCAATGCATTCATACGTACATACACTGTTTGTTGTGAAATATGGTATATGGGTTCTAGGCACACATAAATTACAATTAGAGACTTCTTAAAGTAGGACAGATGCATCAGTTAAATATTGCCGTCATAAGTTCCCTTTTAATTGCAAACAGGGAATGGCGCAGTCGCTTATGCCCGTCTGCAAAGTTCTCATTTGTCTGCCGTTGCTTTAAGTGGCAATTTCTTCTTTTAATTATACAAAAAAAAATGCTCCGGCACTAACAAGCAACAGAGCCAACTTCCGTAACGTTTTCCTCTGCAGCCGAGGGAACTCTTTCCCCACTCCATCCACACACATATATATACAGGCATATGTATGTGTGTATGCGCCCTGAAGTCTCAAGTGTATAACTGGTGACATTGCCAGTGCATTAATTATGCAAAGTGCGTGCTATGTGCACACATGTGTGCACCCAGAATTGGGTTCGGATTAGAATTTGGGGATCTGTTACCCTTGCGGAGAGCTCACAGTTCCTAATGCGACAAATGTGGCTATTAAATAGGACACATTCAGTGCTAGAAAGCCGTTTGTCAAAATTAATATGAAGGGTTTTTAAAAAATTACATTAATATGAAAGTAGAAAAACTCAACTTGTTCGTTTCAAGGGGATACTTGAGGGCTTTTATGTTTTTCATGGATCTCTAAATGAGCAAAAGACAAGTTTGAAAGCTGAAAGCTAAAAGCTTATGAATTACATCATATTATCGACCTACTCGCTTGGTAGCATACTACCAAAGTTCATATTTGTAGTTTAATATTCTCTTTAATTATTAAATTGGACAAATATTGCAGTTAACTTGATTATCATTATTATATTTAAATAAATGTGAAATATTCCTGGCTTCTTCAGAGAACCCGATACGAATATAGAACATTTGAAGTATATTTATATTTCAGCAAATGCTGGTCAATAAGCCTCCTCAACTATTTAATACGTAAAACTAGCCTCCCCATGTACCTCGCCAGCCGTAAGAGTTATTTCCGGCTTTCAATTGTTGTTATGGAACTAAAAACCTCAAATATGCAGCTCAGGCGCCACCCTCGCTCTGGCAGCATAAACATAAATTTCCACCACACAAACTACGACGCCCCCTGATACTCCTGCTACTCCTGCTACAACTCCCACTGCTCTAGCTGCTGCTACTCCTGCTGCACACGTTAACTTTCGTGCGCCAAATGGGTTTTACGGCCTCCCTTGCTCTCGCCCATGCTTCTTCTTCATGCTTTTTAGCCCCGGGCAACTCGCTCTTGGCTACCCCCGCAATGTGTGCAAATGCAAATTGCAGACACGTCTCGCCGCCCCAAGGCTAAAGAATCCGGCTTTCCATGGGATGGGGATATTGTGCGCTCCGACCTGGGGGAGGCTCGTTTTCTGGGCCTGCTTAAAGTCAACTTGTTGGCGCAAATTGCATTTTTATGAGTTTTGATTTCGATTCTCCAATCCAATCTGGCTGTGGCTCTGGTTCTGGCTCTGGCCCTGGCAATGGCCCCCAGAGCGAGGCTAAAAACTAATTTAGAATATCTGCTTGTATTGTAGCGCAGTTGCAGCCCGTAAATTCCATTTGCCTGCAATGAAATTGGGGCACACGATGTTGTATGCCGCATCGCTTTTTATATTTATTTCGCATTCGACGTATTTGGTGTTTTAGTGGAAGACCATAAATCAATGCAAATTGCCAAAAAACGAAGACTGACCAAAAACAACGAAGATTGAATACCCTGCAATGGAATATGTGGCACATTGTCGGAGTAGAAGCAAAAACCAGAGCAAGTTCGCTTCGATTTTCCTCAGCTGTTTTTTATTCTCTTTTCTACTCAAGAGCAAATGTCAATGCGATGCGCACTTGCAGCAAATAAGCGACTTCCTGTTCCAATAAGAAAAGGCAACGCACAATGGCAACGGCAACGGCAACAACAGCAACAACAACAACAACAACAAACAAAAACAACAACGGCAACAGCAAAAGGCATTCATTGATAAATTGTCAAACAGTAGTTGTTGTCGAGGCTGTTGCAATTGTTAGCAAAGGCAGACAGTTAGATAGTAAGACGGACGGATTGCCAGAGAGGCAGAGAGACAGACAGACGGACGTACGTACGTACGGACAGTCCGGTCAGCAGGTAAACATAAACAGAAACACAAGCACACTGCCAACAAAAAGTAAATAGCCAGCCAGTTGGCCAAGTCTCTAGCAATTGGGTCGCCACAATTGGCGGCCATCTGTTGCAGTTGCAGTTGGTGCTGTTGTTGCTGCTGCTGCAGTTGCTCGTAATCTCATTCTATTGCAGCAATTAGAGTCGCTGTTGCATTCGCCGTCTCGCGCCACGGCCTGTGTCTTGTGTCTTGTGGCAGGCTTTACATTTATGGTCTCATTAGTGTCAGCATTTGCGCTTTGTCTTAGTTTCTGTATTTTGGCTTTTTGGCAGTTGCCGCCACAGTTTGACAGCCACTGCAATGGCCAACCAACTTCAGTTTCATTTAGTCTGCTGTACAGACTCCCACTGCCAAGAAAGGGTATCGAGTTACAAACAAAATCGACCAGCGGCCGGAATTAACCAAACTATAACGGAAAAGATGTTGCCAGCACAGTGGGCCAGGAAAGTATATGCACGAAGCAAACTATTTGATTGATTGGAATGATACCCACAAATTCTGTATACCTTTTTAAACAATTCTTCTGTATAATATTATCAAAATATCAAATATGGTATTTAAATTAAATATTCCAATATTTTCAAATTAGTTTAATTTTCTTCAATAAAAAATCATAAATATCTATTTCTCTTTTTATGCATGCCCCCGAATGCCTCCTCTATCGAACACTTCGTGTTTTGGGTATATTCCCAGAAGAAATGTTTTGCAAAAATACGACTAAGTATATTTTAAAAATATTCTTATATTTTTTAATATTATCACTCATTAATACTCTTTGTGATTATGCATGTCGCTTATCTCTTATGAAATATTTATTTTCAATTTAAATATGCTATCGCACTACTAGTTTCAAGTATATGTATATGTCCGTCATTGCTATTGCTATTGCTCTCGACCCAAAGAGCTGCTCTTATCGGATATCTCTGTGCTTTCCCTTCATTTGCTCGCTTTTGTTTATCAATTTCCGCTGCCAAAAGAATTTAACTGCGAACTTGCCCGCACAATGCACTTGTGCGAATTTCATAATAATAATAGTCGGGAAATATTCAAGCTGTCAATAAATTAAAATAATTATGCTGGGCGAGAGCTAGCCAACTGGCTTGGAGCGACGAAGGTCAATTAAGATCTGTTGAATTATTGAATAGTAGAAAATGTTGAATATTTATTTTTATTTATGATGCGATCTTTTATGGCTGTGATGGCAGGCAGCCATTATCTAATTATATAGTAGACTCTCTTCACACTGATTATCATAATTCTGTGCAGCAAAAGCCTTTTGATGGCCAACTGTCATTGGTTAACGCTAGCATTGGCTTTGGCTTTGGCTTTGGCATTGGCTAAGGCAAAGGCTCAGAGCCGAGGGCGCATTTAACGCTTCGCTCTGCAATATTTTGCGTCTGCTGCAACGTCTCAAGTTGCAGCCCAAGCGGCATCAACATCAATTTATGTAATCTGAACAATACACAGAACCGAACAGAGGAACCGAACCGAACGCCAGCCAGGGGGGAGCACATGCCAGGCACATCATCTTATAAATTTTGCTCGTTGCCAAAGATGCCTGTGGTTAACCGCAAAGCAAAGACAGCAACGAGCAACGAGCAACGAGCTCGGCGAGTGGAGAGGAGAGGCAAGGGGGCATTGGAGGCACTTTGAATTAGAGTAGGATCTGGGGCCAAACAATGCGCTCGTCCAGCCAGAGCCACAGTCACAGAGCGTTCGATCAGAACTAAAGAGGAGCGAACGAGCTGCTTCACCCGTGACACGACTTGCACGACTTGAGAATACGAAGCTGTTAATGTCAATATGAAAATTCGTTTAAGATTATGATGATGATAATATTAAAATATGATCAGCAAATGAAATATACATATGAATAATATATACCCATGATACCACAGTCATGTCATGTGGATAGTTAAGGCTGGTAATTAAGAAATAAAATGAAATGCCTATAAAGACTATTTTTTCTCAACTGCTCGCCCACAAATTCCCTACAAGCCCATCTCTAACTGAATCGCTTAGGCGACTAGAGCTCCAGCCCCAACAGCATCCTCTCGTGCTGTGGCCTGGCCCGGCCTGGTCCTCCATGTTCAGTTGTGTCTGTCGCGCCATAAAAACTGGTTTTGTTTTCGGTTTCGGCGCTTTGACTTTAATTGAGTTTTGTTTGGCTGTTTTCTTTGGTTGTTTGGCTGTTTGGCTGTTGGTTGTTAGCTGAGCGCATTCTTGACCAGCTTTTTGGCCAAGTTCAATTGGATCCGTGGTGGCGGCTCTGAGGTGTGGGCGTGGCAGTTCAGTTGACACTCGTGCAGGGCGAGCGAGCGAATTTGGTTGATTTTAATTTATGCGTACATTGGCCTCGCGATTCCTGACATTTCTTTCGGCTTGATTGCATTTTTGGCAGCAACAGCAACAGCTACAGCTACGGTTTCTGTTTCAGTTGATGCTGCATTTGTAGCTTTTGCATCATCCGGCTCCAACTGGAGGTCAATGACGCGCCGCCGCCTGCAGGAGACAAGCAGCAGCCGCCTTAAA